GTAGTTGTCCTCATTTGCCAATTGATGTCTCTGGTTCCCTGTTTACAATCTTGTAAGCTTATTTTACTTTGGATACTTCCATAGCTATGTTGGTTTCTTGGTTATGTCATCTTGTGTATTGATGGTCGGTAGTTGTTTGCTATTATTGATTCTCCATTCAAAGAACTCCCTTCAGTATCTCTGGTAAAGTTAGTCTGGTTTTAACAAATTCCCTTAATTTCTGCTTATTTGGAAATGTCCTAATTTCACCATCATATTTGAGGGACAATTTTGCTGGGCTCTGGTAGCATAGAGCCTAAGGCACTTGACTGCTAACCAGAAGGCTAGCAGTTCAAATCCACCAGCCACTCCTCGGAAGGAAGGCCAGGCAATCTACTTCTGTAGTGATACCACTTTGGAAACCCAAGGTGGGGTCACTATGAGTCAGGTCCAACTCGATGATGGCACATAACATAACATATAATTCTTGGTTGGAAATTTTTCTTTTTCAGGGTTTTATATATACCATTCTGTTACCTTTTTGCTTCTATGGTTTCTGCTGAGAAACCAGAGCTTTTTCTTATTGGTTGTCCATTGTAGGTAACTTTTTGTTTTTCCGGTGCTTTCAGGATTCTGTTTTTGTCTTTGGTTTTGATGAGTTTGATGATGACATGTATTGGTAATTTTCTTTTGGCATCTATCCTGTTTGGGGTTTGCTGGACTTCCTGAATGGATATATTCTCATCTTGGACAATTTTCTCAGTGGTTTTCTTTTTCTGGAATTCCAATTACACGTAGGTTATTTCTTTTGATGATATACCACATGAACCTTAGGCCCGTTCAGTGCATTACCTATTTCTGAAAATTTAGTATTAGCCTTCTGGATTTCTATCTGTAGATCTTGTATCATTTCTGTTTTTTTCATTTGTTTTGTCCTTTTGTTCCTGTATTTTCTTCTGAAATTGTTCTAGGGTTTTGTCTGTGCTTTCTTTAATTTTGTCAGTGTTTTCCTTTATCTGTCTCTCCATCCTTTGAACATACCCAAGTATAATTCTTTTGAATTCCTTATCAGGGAGTTCCAATGCTGTTTCTCCCTCAGGGATGTGTTCTGAGTCTGTATCCCACTCCCTTGTTTCTACCACTTTCTTGCTTCTTTCTGTGGACTGTGATAGTCTGTTGTCTCTGAGACATTGAGAAGTTTTCATATTTAGTTCTCTGTTAAATGTTTGTGAAGAGCATTTAAGGGTGAATCAGGCTCTTCTTGATTGTAATTTATCATTGGCTAGTTGGTGGAGAAGGATCAGTAAGTGGAGCTGCAGGAGGTGCAGTTGTGGTTGCATTGTATGGGCACAGTTGCTGTCTTTCACTCAGTTAGACAAAAATAACAATAAAAAGAAACATCAGAAAAGTAAAAGCAAGCTGACAATAAATACACCACAGACACACACAGTAACAATCACCAAAAAAAGATAAGAAAAGAAAAAAAGCAATATCTGAGGAGTGGGCAATAAGAGCAAAGAGGTAGAGTAGGAGAATAATGAAGAAAAAAATGGGGAAAATGCAAAAAGAAAAATAAGGAATAGGGTTAAACATGAGAAAGAAAGAAAATGGAAACCAGCAACAGAGAAGAGAGAAAATGCTGTAACTAGAACCTGGGAAGGGAAGAATAAAGAATAATAATGAAAAAGACAAAAAACAAAGAAGAAGAATTTTTAAACAGAAACAAACTAAAAAAAAAAAAAAAAAAATCATGGCAGGACGGGGCAGGGCACCCAGGCTCCACTGG